CTTTATAGTGGTATGATGACGTAATTGTTGTTGAGTTTTTGAAAATAGGAAGAAAGGAAAGTCTGACTAGGCACTCAAAAAGCTGTTCTGTTGGTATCACCCTCCATGGCTTTAAATAACGGGCAGCACAGATGTTTGACATCAGTAATGTTTACATGGCCTTAGGGTTTAATTGCTTCATAGTCTCTGTGCAGAGAATAAACAATGACAGAAACTCATAGGAATGATACTCAGGCTATGGCAATGGCTAAATTTCACACTTCATTGCAAACTTTTCTGCTGTGGATAAATATAAACTCAAAAATTAAGTTTTTCTATCTTACGGATAGTACATCACGCATTTTCTGTTCTGAGCTATCTCATAATTAGGAATAAGGACATGAATCCATATGTAAGCTGTTTGTGAACATGTACATCAGTACATAAGCCAACAATTGCTTTCCTGATGAAGATGAATGTGCTGAGGTCTAAATTGTTTTCATCTGCTTTCTTTCTGAAACACATGAAAGGATTGCCATGACATTGTTTGTAGAATATTTTGTGTTTGCAATATATATTAGACCTATAAAGTATAACACAATTTAAGACAGAAACTGCTGATAGATGAGAATAGCTGGCACAGAAATATAGTTAAGTTTAGGTTAGTAATGGGAGAATAATACTAGTAAATAAAAGGTGCAGTTAACTTGACTTATTTAAACACATTTTTAATTTCAGAGATACTTCCTTCTTTAAGTAGATAGTTAAGAACCCATCTGAAATTTAGGGGAAAGCCCCTTCCTTTGCTCCAAACTGGCTCACGTGCTTAGCCCAACCTTAGTGGGATCAATGCTCTATCAATGCCTCTGTCTCAGATTTTTCTTCACATGGGTGCAATGAAGATGAAATCGTCATGAATTCATAAAGTCTAAGGCCAGAAAGGGCTCTTGCATAGTACCCATCTGTAATAAAGGAAGTAAGGATAACCCAGGGAATTACAGGTCAGTCAGCTTCTTTCTAAGAAAGATAATGGAGTCAAGAATTAAGGAATCAGTTTGCAAGCCTCTGGACTATAATAAGGTGGTAAGTAATAGCATGGATTTTTCAAGAACCATTAGTGTCAAACAGGGTATCAAGTCTTACGATTGACAGGAAAGTGGTAGATGTGGTATATCTAGACTTTAGCAAGGCATTTGATACTCAACACTTTCTCATTAACAAACTAGGGAAATAGAATCTACTTGGAACTACTATCAAGTGAGTGCTTAACTGGTGTGGCAGCCTGAATGCAGGGGGTTGCAGAAGCCTGGTGGAGGGCAGGTGTACAGGGAGTTGGGTATGTGGGTTTATGTTCCCTGAATAAGCAGCCAGAGACTGCTGCTCAGCCATTAGGTCAGGCAGGTACCTGAAGCCCATCTGGTGTCAGCCTAGAGTGAAGCCAAATTAGGACACCTGCCACCAGTTAAAGCCTGTGGGCACACAATAAAACCCTTCCCTCATCAGGGCAAAGGAGAAAAGGGATGGACCAGAGGAGAGGCTGAGTGAAGGGAAGCCCTGCATGCAGCAAGCTAAAGGGGCCTGTTCCAAGATGCCAGGGAGGAGGTATCCAGGGAGTGGTTGGGGAAGTGGCCAAGGGAAGGGTTGCTATTCAGTGGGGTAAGGGACAGTTTTTACAGCCCCATTCAAGGCTACCATATAGGGCCCTGGGCCGCAACCCAGAGCAAGTGGGTGGGATTGGGTTTCCCCCCTAACCTCCCCCTGGCTGGTGGGCAGCCAGCAAGGAATAAAAGTATCCTGGACTATTGGAGGGGCTGACCTCAAACTCCTGACTGGACAATGATGAAAAGGGCTATTGGAAAGGAGTACCCTTGCCTTTTCAGTAGTGGTAGGGACACTGCGAGCCTCTGATGCACAAAAGAACCCCGCCAGGAAGTGCAAGACCCAAGGACATAGCCCAGACCCATCACACTGGGTAACCATTCCCAGAGAGTAGTAGTCCAAAGTTCAGAGTTATGCTAGAAGGGCATAACAAGTGATCTGCAGCTCTTTTTGCTACACAACCTGTAGTATTCTCTTTGTTACTTAGCCCTTTTGCTAGGTTACTCTATTCTCCTTTCATTGCTCCACTCTCACTTCCTCAGTGGCTGGTAGGGGAACTTGAGCCTGCCCTCTATTCTAGGTTCCAGTCTAGGGACCCTCAGCTCCACAGTTCTGGGCTTCCTCTCTCTGCACAGTTCCTGGACTACAACACTGTAGTTTCCCTTCTCTGTCTGGACGTACCAGTTCCAAGAACCCTTTCCCCAGGGAGTGACTGCCTTTTCTCAACAGTTTCCCCTTTCTGTAGCCAGATTCTTAGCTTTTTTTAATCATTGCCTGTTCCTAATTGGTTGCATTTTTCCATAATCTCTTCTGTTTGAAGCCTAATTAGATAATTGGGTCCACCTGACCCAATTCCGTTCTCGCAGTGCTAGTGTTGGAATATCAGTCATACTCTTTGACATAAAACAGTTTATCCATTATAGAATCCTAGAACTAGAAGGGACCTCTATAGGTCATTGAGTCCAGTCCCCTGACCTCACAGCAGGACCAAACACTGTCTAGATAATCCCTCATAGATGTCTATTCAACCTGCTCTTAAATATCTCCAGTGATAGAGATTCCACAACATCGTTAGGCAATTTTTTCCAGTTGAAGAAGCAAATGTGATTCTGGGATGCATTAATAGGAGTGTTGTGAGCAAGACACGAAAAGTCATTCTTCCACTCTACTGTGTGCTAATTAGGCCTCAGTTGGAGTTCTGTGTCCAGTTCTGGGCACCACATTTCAAGAAAGATGTGGAGAAACTGGAGAAGGTCCAGAGAAGAGCAACAAAAATGATTAAAGGTCTGGAAAACATCACATATGAGGGAACACTGAAAGAATTGGGATTGTTAAGTTTAGAAAATAGAAGACTAAGAGGGAACATGTTAGCAGCTTTCAAGTATCTAAAAGGGTGGTAACAAGGAGGAGGGGAAAAAACTGTTCTCCTTAGCCTCTGAGAATAGGGGTACATCTAGACTACATGCCTCTGTCGCCAGAGGCATGTAGATTAGGCTACCAGACATAGGAAAATGAAGCGGCGATTTAAATAATCGCCGCTTCATTTAAATTTACATGGCTGCCGCGCTGAGCCGACAAACAGCTGATCAGCTGTTTGTCGGCTCAGCGCGGCAGCCATGTAAATTTAAATGAAGCGGCGATTATTTAAATCGCCGCTTCATTTTCCTATGTCTGGTAGCCTAATCTACATGCCTCTGGCGACAGAGGCATGTAGTCTAGATGTACCCCTATTCTCAGAGGCTAAGGAGAACAGTTTTTTCCCCTCCTCCTTGTTACCACCCTTTTAGATACTTGAAAGCTGCTAACATGTTCCCTCTTAGTCTTCTATTTTCTAAACTTAACAATCCCAATTCTTTCAGTGTTCCCTCATATGTGATGTTTTCCAGACCTTTAATCATTTTTGTTGCTCTTCTCTGGACCTTCTCCAGTTTCTCCACATCTTTCTTGAAATGTGGTGCCCAGAACTGGACACAGAACTCCAACTGAGGCCTAATTAGCACACAGTAGAGTGGAAGAATGACTTTTCGTGTCTTGCTCACAACACTCCTATTAATGCATCCCAGAATCACATTTGCTTCTTTTTTTCCCCCAACGGTGTCATACTGTTGACTCATGCTTAACTTTTGGTCCACTATGACACCTAAATCCCATTCAGCAATACTCCTTCCTAGACAAGCACTTCTCATTCTGTATGTGTGAAACGGATTGTTCCTTCCTAAGTGGAGCACTTTGCATTTGTCCTTATTAAACTTCATCCTGTTTACCTCAGACCGTTTCTCTAGTTTGTACAGATAATCTGGAGTTTTGACCTTATCCTCCAAAGCACTTGAAACCCCTCCCATCTTGATATCAACTTAATAATCGTACTGTCTATGCCATCATCTAAATGGTTAAGATCATGTCTTAGTTAAACATGAGGGCTACGTCTACATTGGCAAGATTTTGCGCAAATACTTTTAATACAAGAGTTTTTGCGTTAAAGTATTTGCGCAAGAGAGCGTCTACACTGGCATGTGCTTTTGTGCAAGAGATGTGCTTTTGCGCAGAAGCATCCATGCCAGTGTAGATGCTCTCTTGGGCAAGAAAGCTCCGATGGCCATTTTAGCCATAGGGCTTTCTTGCGCAAGAAATTCATGTTGCCTGTCTACACTGGCCTCTTGCGCAAGAACAGTTGCACAAGAGGGCTTATTCCTGAGTGGGAGCATCATAGTTCTTGTGCAAGAAGCACTGATTTCACACATTAGAATGTCAGTGTTCTTGCACAAGAACTCCCCGCCAGTGTAGACAGGCAGCATGTTTTTGCGCAAAAGCGGCTGCTTTTGTGCAAAATCATGCCAATGTAGACACAGCCAAGGGGCTAGATCTGTGGGTGCAGCTAAGCTGCCCAGGTGTGAAGGTGTAGGAAAGGGGTTTGGGACCATGTATTCAGCTGGCTGAGGCGGGTGGTGCCAGCTGGTCATCTGTTAGACCAGCATAAATGTTGGTCTGGGTTTTGTTGGCAGAAACAGTGTGGTAGAGAACATTCTGCTGGTCAGCCTTTGCCACCTAAGCCTCAGCCTAATATGGTCCCTTATGGAGAGAGGAGGTTATAGGATTGATCATTCTGGAAGAAGCTATAATTTTAGCTCTTTGGACAGTAGTTGTTGTTTCTTTCACCAACTGGAGTCTCCCATATTTTTTTAAAAACTGGGTACATTTGAAACAGTTACCATTTGTATGAAATATATGGTATGAAAATATTTCAAAAGCTGTACCTGGATTTTTTTTGTATGATTTATTGAGTAACAACCATGCCTCCTTAGTACCTCCCCAAGCAAAAGACTGGTTTTGTAATTATAGAAAGTAAACAATCATTGAAAGACCTGAATATAATTTTATTGTTAAAGTGAGTTAATTGCTATGTGATACTTTTTCTTCTAAAGCTGGAGATGAAAACAAAAATAATGGAAGCTAAATTTCATGAAGAGAAGCTTAAATTACAGCAGAAACATGATGCAGATGTTCAGAAGGTAAGAAATCTTTGGACATTCCTTCTGAGGGGTATACAGTGCTTTCGGGATTTAAGTGAATAGTTGACTACTTGCATTCCCCTCCCTCCCATTCTCTGTATCACAGGCAGCTAAGGGGAGGGGAACTAGGAGTTGACTGGTAGTGCTGCCTGCCCCCTTCTCCTACTTCTGTCTCTCAGAGGCAGCAGTGCGGAAGGGGAGGCTACCTCAAAGCAGCCTCTGCCTGCGGTGGGTCCAAGCAAGCCCTGTCCATGAGCGGGTCTCAGTCGGGCCGGGGCTGGGACCGGGACCTACCCTTGCTGCACCTCTGCAGTTTTAATGTAGTAGTACGCAGGCTGCAGGCTGTCTGCACGCTGAGCTTCTATTACAGGTTGGACCTCCCTCTTCCACACCCTCGGAACCAGAGCTGTCCCGGACCAGGGAATTGGCCAGGCCCGGGAGGTCAGTGCTCCCCTCCTGGCTACCCAGCTCTTGAGCTCCTCCCACTTGCTGGCACTGCTGCTGCAGGTTGTTCCTGCCTGGGGCCACCTGGCCACCACTGAACCTACTGCTGCTGAGGGTTCCCCAGCCGGGGTGCCCAGCTGCTAGGGCTGGCCCCACTTCTGCTGGGGATTCTGTCCGCCTGCCTCTGCTTCAGCCAGGGGGTTCCCCAGCAGAGGCTTCCTGGTCATCCTGGCCCTGCTGCCACTAGGGATTTGCCAGGATCGCTGGCCAGAGCCGCCCAGCTGCTGACTGCTCCACTGCAACTGGGGGTTTCCTGGATAGGACCAGACTTCAGGTCTCCTGGCTTCACTAATACCAAGGACTGCCTGGCTGCTGCCTGGATCAGGTGATGCTGGGGGTTCCTGGCCGGGGTGGGGTTTCCCCGATGTCACCCGGCCCAGAAAGGTCTCCCTATCCCATGCGTTGCTCCCATCTCTGGAGCTCTTTGGTCCAGCAAAATCCGTGGTCCTTCTGGACCATGAATGTTGCCAGACCAGAGAGAGTCCTGGATTTGGGAAGTTCAGCCTCTACATTTAAACCGCAGAGCTGCAGCGGGAGTAGCTCCTGGACCCAGTGTGAGTTGGGACTGAGCACTTTCCCTTATTGAGTAATCATGTAGTCGATAAAATGTTTATCGACTACATAATTAACCAGTTACCCACCTCCTAACAGTGCATGAATCTGTATAATATAGAATATGAACTTATAAATAATGAAGAGCTGCTTTTAATTTTTTTTAGCTTTTTCAGATTAATATTCATTTTGCTTTAAAAATAAGATTTTGTTGTTTGCTTCAGTTTGCAAAAATTGACATGAGAGGAGGATCTGCAATACTGGTATGAATTTGGAAAGGGAAAATGTCTCTGTGAAAAGTTATTTAATATGCTATGTTATGATTTTGCATATATGAGAGTTTAAAGACAGTTTTTTGCTTCACAACCCAACAACTTCTCTGGCTTCATCTGACAGTGAAATTTTAAACTTGTGATTTTAAACAGAGATCTGACAACTTTTCTTCACACCAGCTTTAACTCTTGCATTGTGTTTGTAACTTTGTATTCCTTGGATTGTATTAGTTTTAACGTCAGTGTCACTCAAACGTTTTCTTTTTCCTTGGTTTAAGTGAGTATACCAAATACATTTTCATATCAGCATGGTATTAGTAGTAGCTTTTGCTACTTTATTTTTGATACTGCTTGAAAAAGTAGGCTCTTTAATAGAATTGCGTACTGTTGTATACTTACAATTGAGCTTAACTTAGTTTATCAAGCTTTTATTTTACTTTTGATTCAGTAATAAAATGACACCTAATAATGTTTACTGGAGCTAAGTAGAATTTCTTTTGACTTTTTTGCAAAGCATCGCTTTGGAAATTATAAAAATGGCTTTCACCACATATATTCTTTATATTAAGCTTTTTTTACACCTAATCAGATCCTCTGGTTTACTAAGTGCTTCTTCCAAGGTGCTGATCACCCTTAATTCCCGTGGAGTTAAAGGGAGTTAAGTGCTCAGTATCTCACAGGATGAGATTCATGATCCCTTATTCTAATTTAGGTTTACTGTTACAGAGTGTCTGTTTTGTTTTTCAAAACTGAGTCACAGACTTGGAGGAAGTCAGTTGACACAACACTGTGACACATCAAAGACTCCCATAAAGGATGTTAATATTTGGTCAGGTGCATATTTGACTCATCTGTTCTCAGAGCTTGTAAGTGTAACAGACTAGTGAAGATGAGAGTTTAAAAGAAACAGCTTTGTAAGAATAAGAAATAGTTGAGATGCTTTCTCATCTCCTTGGTTTTCTTTTTCAAACAACTGTCAAGATTCCATCTTTTGAAGTTGCTTTATCATGTTGAGTATGTTCTAGAAAAAGTTAAATAGTGTTGCATTAATTCTTTAACCACGTAGACCATTTAATATAGGTAAGAGTAACATTCTATTTTGGAGTGGCAACATTCTGCTTGATGAGAGATTTTAGAATTACCATAAAATGTTTTAACATCAACTTAGACACAAATGTTAAGTTGAGCTTTCAGTTAATAATATTCACTAAAATAGCATCTGTACAATTTCAATGGTAAGCATATTTTATAAATATGGAGCTATTTGTATTTTTAGAGATTCAAATATAAGATTGTCTTTTGCTGTTATAAGAAAAGTGCAGTGAAGCAGATAATTGTTTTGACAAATCATATCATGAAAAATCAGATATTTATATTGCTTATAGTAATTAAAATAAGAGTGAGAGAAAGGACAAAAAGTAAAATAATTTTATTAAATGTATTTGTGGACTATTAGCACAATGAAATATAGTATCTACTATATATTTTAGAGAGTTGGTGCATCAGTGTGTTTCTATGCGTACATCTAGATCACATCCCTCTTTCGACAGAGGGTTCTAAATTAGGCACTTTGAAATTGCAAATGAAGCCGGGATTTGAATTTCCTGTGCTTCATTTGCATAATCGTGTAATGGTGCTCTTTCAAAAAAGCACTAGTTCGAAAGTAAAACCGCAGTCTAGATGCGGTTCTTTCGAAAAGGGAAGGCTTTTTCAAAGGATCCTGTAAACCTCATTTTTTGAAGGTTTTAAAATAGAAGGGCGGGGCCAGGATGCTTCCGGGCTTCCCTACCCACAGGCCATGATTGGTCTGGGGCTGGGAGAGCCCCTTTGCCTGTTCCTTCCCACTAAGCACCAATGCCCCTGGCAGGTCAGGAAGAGACGTCAAGCGTTTCCCCCCACCTTCAGACCAATCGGAGCCTGGGGGTGGGGGAAGCGCACAAAGTTTCCTCTGCCCTGCCAGGAGCAAGTAGCACTTTGAAGTGCTGCGTGCTGCTGGGAGGGCGGGAGGAGACATCATGCGCTCCCTCGCCCCCATGCGCTGATTGGTCTGGGGGCCGAAGGAGCACACAAAGTTTCCTCCTCCCTACCCCCACCCTGCGAGAAGTGCATGGCACTTCAAAGTGCCATGCATTCAGTGCAGGGTGGAGGAAGCTTTATGAGCTCTCCTGCCCCCAAGCTCTGATTGGCCTGGGGGTGGGGGAACATGCGAAGCCTCCTCCCACCTTGTGAGGAGCGTGAGGGGGTAGGGCGGAGGAAACTTTGCATGCTCCTCCCGTCCCCAGGCCAATCAGCGCTTGGGGGCGGGGAGCATGTGAAGTCTTCTCCCACCCTGCCAGGAGTGCACGGCACTTCAAAGTGCTACTTGCTCCTGGCAGGGCAGAGGAAACTTCTTGAGCTTCTCTTACCCCCAGGCCCTCATTGGGTCTGGGGGAAGGGGAGTGGCAGGGTCTCCACGGGCCAGATCAGTCCACTTGGCGGGCTGGATCTGGCCAGCGGAGACCCTTTTGCCCACCCAGTCTTATAATTTTAAGTAAAGTCAGGATTTGGTTGTGCCAGGAAAATGGGATGTGCATGGAATACAGTTATTTTGCATTAAATGGAAAGGAAAGGACCCCAGTACAGCCCCAGAGAGAAGCCAGCAGATGGCCTGCCCTCCCCCCTACGCCAGTGTAGCCCAGCTGCCCTGCACAGCTCTTCCTGCCCCAGCCCCAAGGAGAAGCCAGCACAGTGCCCCAGCCCTAGCCTGAGCCCCAGGGAGAAGCCGGAAGGTGGCCCACAGCCACCTCCTCTCCTGGCCCACAGCCTTCTACCCCACAGCCTGGACCTCTCCCCTGTCTATAACTCCCATCTCTTGGCCAGACCTCTCACTGTCCTGGCCTCCTCTTCCCCTTGCCCCCCACTGCACCCAGCCCGGCTTAGTCTCCTCCTCTTCCAACAGTATGTTGAAACAAAGACAAATATGCTGGTCCAGTAGCTGGAGCAGTAGTGTTATACTTGGGAAATCAACCCAAGGGTTGGAGCCAGAGTTAGAATTGGACATCAAGATAAAGATTGTAGGCAGAGTCAGAGAGCCAAAGATCAGAGCTGGAGCTGGAATGTCAAACCAAGTGTCAGATCCAGATTCAGAGACTGGGGACAAGAATCAGGAAGAGGAGAGGATAGCAGGAACAGGAACCCAGAGCAAAATTGGAAAGCAGGGTTCAGCAATCAGATAAGAGTCTAGAGTAGTAATGTGCTTCTCTGTAAGTTTAAATAGAAACCCTGGACCAGTCAGAGTTCAGTGTGCTCCTTCAGTCAGGAAAACCCTCTCTGATGTAACTTCAGATTTTGTGGTCTCCTCTTCACAGTTGGCTAGCACAGGTTGGACCTCCCTGGTCCAGCACCCTTGGGACTTGACCTGTCCCGAATGAAGGAGTTGGCTGGATGAGAAGTCAATTCTCCCCCTTCTGCTGATGGAATCTGTGCTCTCCCAGGCTCCCTTCCTACCCTTACTCCTCCCCCCGCCCAGCTCTTCATCGGGGCTTTGGGTTACTGGGTTCCCTGCCCCTAGGGTGCCTCCAAGCTCCACAGCCAGTCCTGGGGCTGCTTCCACCACGTCTTAGGAGGCTGGACACAGCTGCCCAGGGTCCACCACCTAGGCTGGGTGGTCTTGGGGATGCCATAAGTAGGTGCTGTAACCAGCCCTGGTGCCACTGGGCTATGTGTCTAGCCCCAGCATGCAGCTATGTGGCCAGCCCCGGTGCCGTCACCTACCTCCAAGGCCAGTCCTAGCTCCAGCGTCCCTGGGGTCTGCCAGGCTCCCAGATCTCTGGCCATTTCTGACTACCAGGCTTCATGCCATTGACCTCCCAGGGCTCTTTGGGCCACGGGCTCTCTGGTCCAGCAACATCTGTGGTCCTGCTGGATGAAGGGGTCCCACACCAGAGAGGGTTCAAACCATAGTGAGCTGTTGGTTGTGAGTGAGTTGTTGGTTGTGAGCGGGAACACTCTGGACAGTGGTTCAAGACCTGTGCTCTTGATAACTTGTGAAGATCAATTTTCGTGTAAAATTTTTTCTGTCTCCACTTTTTCCTTTGATAATACGGACATTTATATTAAAATAGTATCTTTGTTGCTAAGAAGTCCGCATATGGCTGTTGTCTGCTTCCTATCTAAATTCATCCTCTATTTAAAACCAATTGCAGTTGGTTACTGTGGAAATTATAATTTCACACGTTTCATTGCTTCTGTGAGGCCAAAGCATCTCTCAGCTGTTACTCTTTTATAGATACATAACAGTGGAAGAGTGTTGTATCTACATTTGTTATATTGTTCTTTGCTTGTGGGTTATATTTTTCTTTTGAATTGCATGCTTGTTAAAGTAGTGTGAATTTATACAGATTTTGGATAGAAAAAATAATGAAACTGAAGTATTGAAGACCCTCTACAAAACTAAACAGAATGAAGCTGAGGAGACTATTAGGAAGCTAGAAAAGAAAGGTGATGCTTTTTCTTTTGCTTTCTATTTTTGTGTGGTGGTGTTACTTTATACATTAATGACTAAAGACCACATTTTATTTAGGTACACATCTTCAACTTCTATTGAATTTCAGTAGGAGTTGTGCGTAGAAGTTTATGGTTGAAGATTGGCCTTCATTTTTCATTGATTAGGATGCTCATTTGAGTTTCTTTTCACTTTGTTTTTCATGTTGAATTTTTCAAGAGACTACATGTTCTTGTTAGGTTTTTGTTTACGTTTTTTTTTTTTGAAGGGCCTAAAATACCACATATAGTATTTATTTTGATAGAAATACTTTGATTCCTCAAATCTCAGTTAGAATTAAAAAGTTTAGAGGCACTTGAATTTCTAAAACCAATTTAAAATAATCTGTTTGTAGCTTTGTAACAAGTTCAAGGTTAACTTTAATCTCTGGGTGGAGAATTAAGCATTTTCTTTATTTAGTGCATTTAATCGGGCCCTACTTTATGGTTTATTCTTTATTCTAAGAATTTTGAATAATGACTAGTGATTTTGAGTGTCAGTGTTTGGGAACCCAATGTGACATACCTTTACGGGACCTGATGTTCAGAGGGTAGATGCCCAGCTTCTTTTGAAAATCAGTGTCTTTTCAGGTGCTTTGGTTGGACACTCAACATCCCTAGCCACTTTTCAAAAGTTTTAGAGAATTGCATGCAAATCTGCTATTGTTTTTCTGATGTTCTGCTACACGTAAGGAAATTTGGCAGTGCATAAATCTTAATGCAAGGTATTTAGAGATGGAATGTTTTTATATTTTCCTTGGGTACTTAATTTTCTTTTATACATACTGCAGATTTTAGATAATTCTGTATATTCATATTTTCACAATCAGAGAAAAAAGTCATCAGGAAATATTTTATAAGTGAATAAAATCACAGTGGAAAGATAAAATCCTACGTTTATTTAAATATCCAGTTTTATGACATGGAATATCAGTGTTACATTTGTAAGGAAATTATCACACAAACACAGTTTATTTTTTTAAATCACAGAAATATCAGAAGGTGATATTGGGTGTGGAAAACCGGAGTTACCTAATTGCATTTGTTGCCAATTTTGGAAGAGGGCATTTCTTGGTTTGGTTATTTTTATTTTTTATTTTTTGACAGTTCAGACCCTTGTTCGTGAGTCACAAATTGTCAGAGAGACTAAGGAAAAGCAGATCTTGGAGTTAAAGAAGTTGTGTGAGCAAAGCACAGATTCTTTGAACAATGACTGGGAGAAAAGGGTAATGGATAACACTTTATTTGCTTTTAAGTCTGAAGTCTTCATTCAATAGAAATATAGAGAAAATCAAATGTATAGTTCATCAGCTTCTGAAATGACTTTTTTTGTAATCCTTTTATTAGAGTAACATTGCCAGTTTTTTTAACATATTCATCTAAAGTAGATCTTGTAAGTTTGAACATCTATAAAGTTTTGCCATTTTGATTTGTCTGTATCACCATTGCTACACCTAGTCTTACAGAACATGTGAGCAAATTCCAGTCTTTCTTTGCAGGTTATGCACAAGCCCTGTCTTTTTTCCTTTTGACAAACCCATTTGTCTGGGTATACAAAGAAGGTGTCCTGTCACATACTTCTGAATGCAGTTTACCTGATGTGAAATTTTTATCTGTCAAATTGTTGCTGCCCACATCCACAATGACTCTTTTGAACAGCTATTCATGCAGTGACACATCGTTCAATAAAAGTTCTATTTACTTTTAGGCTTAAGGCAGCCTCAATGTATGCTGAGACTGATTTATCATACTACAGCTCCAGCCTTGCCACAGTACTGTTGAGACAGTATGCTGCTAGCCCGCTGGGGAGGGAGAAAGGTCGCCTCAAAGTCAAGGCACCTCCCTTCCCAGAGAAGATGTTTAATTGTATGACTTGGCACCTGGACCTATGAGCCAAAGGCCTTGTTAGTTTTTCTACTTGCTTTGGAAGAAGACTTGATCATAAACATTGTTTTTTCCAACAGCAGAGAACCTGAGGCAAAAATGCTTCATGTTTTGTTTCTTACAAAACAGTATTTTGACCCCAAGTTCATCATACTTACTCTGAATGTGCAGTTAACTAGCAAGAACTATTCCCAAAACTGTCATTATCATCAATGATAAAAGTACACAAAGACACAAACAAAAGTGTTATGATAATTTTAAATCCACTAAAACTACAGGAATAGTGTAAAGGCATCATTTACCCCACAGAAAAGAAAAGGTGATAGTCCAGTGTTCCAAGACAATACGTACAATATAAATGGATAGGTAGAATATTTTTATAGCGTGTATGAAAGTTACTTCATTTTGTCCTTCTCGAGTGCTTTTTTTCCATTGAATAGATGTTGATTTTTGCAAACTTACGTCATTACTATTTTTTGTTATGTGAGGAGACAAGTTGTTGACAGGAGACTTAACATATTTTGGAGATGTAGTATTGTAGAACAAATTAGAGGCTGCTTCCATTGTGATTTAGAGTTAAAAAAAGTTGTTTCGTGTAATGTTTACTTTTTAAAAATGTAATCACGTATTCTCTAATTTTGTGCATTTTTAATAAAGAAGACACATATAGCTATATAATATAGTTCCCCTCCCCCCCCCCAACAGTAAATACTGACCCAGCAATAAAATCATTTCACTAACTTTCAGTATGTGAGTTCCATGCATCATTTGGATAAAAAATTGTTGAGTAACTGCTGTAAGGACTGTCGTGTAATGGTTATCCATTAGGTTTTTTTACTTTGGTGATCATTTTCATATTTCTGTCTGTAAGGCTTGGTACTTCTGCAAATAATCTGAAGCATGCTAACTGCAACCATGTTTTCTGCAGTTGAACAATAGTCATTTTTTTTTTCCAGCACAGACTTACCCCCATGTACAGTTCTAGTTTTCATTCTTACAGTTCTAAGGAAGACTAATATTGTCACTGTTCGCATTTATTCTGATGAATTGCATCACTGCATAAATTAGCATAAAAATCATAAGATCAGTATTATCATTGTGTTTCAGACGTCTGACAAGAAGATATTTGTTTAAGTTAGTATAGTGTTAACAGAAGGATTCAGTGTCATTACCCACATTTATGTGCCATTGCATGTTCTTTACATTATTATTGTGAGTTAAATAGGCATATCTGAAAGCTGTGCAACCAGGTGGGATCTAGCCAGTTTGACATACAGTTATTACCAAGTTGCCCTGGTATATCAATTTAGGTTTGAAGGCCCAAATTTTAAAATGTATTTAGGTACTTAGGAGTCTAAATCCCATTGAAGCCCTTTTTAAGATGAGGTTTTGGCTCTTAAATAAGTTAGGTATTGTAATGCTGAGGGCAGCAACTCCTACATATATCTACAAATCTGTGCTGAAACTCTTTACCCAGAAATGGATGAACTTTGTTTTAGAATGAAAGTCCTATGTTGAGCAACACAGTGTACTAGCTCAGATGGGTGTCACAGATAATACACTCTAATTTAGGTAAGTGTATAGTTTTGTTTCCAGGGTCCCCAGTCTCATAGACTTAAGATCTATTGTTAGAGGAAGGAAAATAGTTGTGGAGAACAAATTATTTGTACAGTAGAAAATTGATAGTTTATATATTAGTAACTGGTTTAATTTCAATATTAAATATTAAAATGAATATAAAATCAACAACATTAATGGCAAAAACTGCAAATATATTTTCAGTGTTCTGTAAAAGTTAAGCATAAATTGCTTGGTTTGTATATTCTGAAGATTCCTTCCTTTTTAGTTCTGGAACAAATATACAGGAAACCTGCTCGCATATTAGTAAAGGGGGTAATTATATAGGTTTTATTCTAAAGGTCAGAAAAATCAGCTGTACAGTTTTATAAATCACTGAATATCATGGTAATATTTTTTTTTTAAAAAAAATACAGCTTCACAATGCTGTGGCAGAAATGGAAAAGGAAAAATTTGATCTTCAGAAGAAACACACAGAAAATATCCAAGAACTGCTTGAGGACACAAATGCACGTCTTAGTAAAATGGAGATCGAGTACTTGACACAGACAAAGGCAACTGTAAGTTTTTTGTTTGTTTGTTTGTTTTATATATATATATATATATATACGCACACACCTAGATTATGCCCACAAATATTAATTGCAATCTTCAGTTTTCATGCACTTATGCATTTTGGAATACTCCTTTTTCTTAAGACATGATGTATCAGAAAGGTAGTATCAGGAAAAGAGTTCACATGAGAATTATTTTTGTTTTGTCACTCGACAAAGTGGACATAAAGACTTTGGGGCTGAAAAACATTTTTGACAGATCTGTACTACCATGTACAACACTATGACATTTTGTCATCAAAGAGATAGTAGAAATAACTCATGTCTAGGCATTTATTCTTTTCCACGAAGTAAGATGCCTAGAGATGCATGACTTTCACTTCCCTGTTTCTTTAATCAAAAGTAAATTTCTGATAGATGCTGGATTGGTAGCACTGGAAGCTAAAATCCAGTGGGGGGGCGGGATCACATGCACTATTGTTTGCAGTAGAAGCACTTGTAATGGAAACTTGCTGTGTCTTCCCTGGTGACTCTATATGATATTAGTCTCCTGTGGTAACAGGAGGTGGCAAGAGTGCAGATGCTGCAAGCATGTGGGTAGAAACCTAGTCCTATGCTGCTGTGATGTGTTCTGCAATGATGCCATTTAATACTGGAATGGTGTGGGAAAGAATAAGGTAGCCCTCCACAGAAACCTTCTGCAAGGGAATGCAGAGTATCTACATGAAAGTTTCCTGAAGATTTCCATGGAGGATTCCCAGGCCTTCATTGTGCACATAGACAGCCTTTTCAGGGGAGGAGGAGATGGGGGCTTCTGCATAGCTGGATTGGCCACCAGGATGCACATAATTCCCTGGCATCACTCTTGCTGCTCTGTGACCAGCTGGATTATTTTGGGGTTGAAAATAGCTCCTAACTGTGGGGAAGAATGGATCCTCTGTTCACTATTTCCCATTCTCTTCTGCTGCCTCCTTGTTGCCTGAACTAGGCTGATACTTCAACTACTGGGAGGTAGCTTGTCAGTGGTACAGGACCAGAATGACTGTTGGCCTCCCTTGTCTTCTGGTATGCCTGTCAAAGTTCTTTGATTTTTCTCATGGCTCTTCTTCCCCGATGACCCGCATGGTCTTTTTTTAGATGGCAATATTTCTTTGATTGGGTTGGAGCTATGGCTGCAGATTCTTCTCCCCACATACCAATCAGATCCACTACTTCCTGAGTACACAGGCTGGAGCGTCTTTGACCTTGAGTCACCCTGATCAGCTGGGTTGGCAAGTTCTCTACACTCATCAGACAGGAAATGGCAATTCAAAAGTTCCTGAAGCTTTAACAGGGCCGGGGTTGTTACCTGGGTCCCTAGCTGCTGTGCAACGGAGTTGAAAGTTATCTACAGAGCAGTCACAGTGGAGCATTGTGGGACACCTCCTGGGACCCAATTCATCTGACTTGTCTAATGCCTCTGTCAACTCTTTAACATTGAATTAAATACGATGCCTCTTGCAGAGGTGGAGTAGGTAAGTCAAGATTAACAGGGGCGTTAGGTTGGTGGAAGGGACCTGATTGTGTGGATGCATACGTTATTAGGTCGATGTAAAGTGGCTTCTCTTGATCTAAGTTGTAGTGTAGATCGGGCCTAAGAGAGGCAGGGCAATGTCTCCTTTTCAGAGGCAGAACGTTGATAAGAGAATGTGAAACCAGGGCAAGAGAGGGGTTTCCTGAATGGTTGTAGAAATTGTTAGTAGCCTCTCTGCCGCTTTCAAAGCATTTATGCAGTAGCATATAAGGCTTATTTTCAGTGCGCTGGTGTTTCCAAATGCTGAACCATCTTCCTCTAATTCAATCTTGGAAACTTGCACAGACACATTTCTAAGAAGGTTGAGACTGTCTCTTTCGTCTGCTAATTCATTCTTTACACCCTTCTTAGATAAACACATTAAAGGATTTGCTGATGAACTTTCAGGAGGAAGAACATTTATTTTTCTTCTTAGATGTATACACCATTCAACAAGTCTGTCTAGTTGATCTAGGTACTCTTGACATTACTTAAATATGCATAACAAAGAACTTCACATGTGTAGAGGGGTAGGCCCCCTCAACTGTCCCCAAGTGCCAAGTTTGGGTCATTGCCCCCTCTCGCTGGACAAAGGTGGCCCAGGGGCCTGCTTCATGGGTAAGTCTCTTGTATCAGGGTAAATAGGGCCTGATAGCCCCATCCATATGGAAGTACCCCATACCAGGGTGAATGTAACCTGAAGGCCTAGTCCACAGGTAAGCCTCCCAACTGTTAGGAAGCTGGCCTGTTGTGGAGAGGTAGGGAGACCTGGGCCCTCCTGCTCCACTGGGTCCCAGCCCAGGGCCCTGTTGGCAGTGGAGGGTCCCGCTGCCTGCTCAGTGGGGATTCCAACTGAAACACACTGAGCTCCTGGAGGACAGTTCTCTACCCTGGGCTACTTGCTGCCCTTCCCAGGGTGTAGCTTCGCTCTCACTGAGATGCTTGGCTGGTTGGACTCTCATGGATGGCCTCCCTGGCCATGGCTGCTGCTGAGGTTGCAGCTGTGGTTGCAGAGGCTTCAGCTGCTGCTGAGGTTGTGGCTGCAGTGGCTGCCGAACATGTTGCTGCTGACACTGCTGCTGTTGTGGCTGTGGTTGGGGTTGCTCTGGAACTTGCCTCGAAACTCCTTCCCCTCTGGCAGTCAGCCCCAACTGAGTGGCTCCCTGGGCTTTTGTCTCCCCTGTGAGCATGCCCAGCAGGCCTGTGGGGGTGGGGCCTTTTCAGTCAGCTGGGCCAGGTCAACTCTCTGCTCCTTAGTGTGGGGCAGATACACCTCATCACAACGTGACTAACTTTTTTTACTGGACTTAATTTTTAAGGTTTCTTTTTACGTTTTTCACACACTTCTTTCAAATGATAATCAGGAAGTTGAAATGGGGAAGAGTTTGGGTTTCATTAACAGCTTTGAAGAAGCCATTTCAGTGTTGGTACTTCAGATTCTTAGTCCTGGTAGCTGATCCCCCAATTTAACTCCAGTCTCTTTCCACATCCCGTGCCTCGCATATCAGTACTTTAATTGGGTCCCATATAGGGTTACAGGCTTCCACAATCTAATTACTTCCTATTCTCTTTCTGCAAACAGGGTAGAGGGTCCCAGAGGGGGAACTTGGTCTGTGAAGACTTGAGGTCTCCTCTTCTTGCAGAGACACAAGACCCGTCAGTGAATGGGAGCTGACCCTTTCAGCCTTTCTCCACATTGGACATGGGCTGCAAGTTCTCATAAAACTAAAATGCATTCCTATAAATTCTTTATATTAAAGTCCTACTCTTTTTAACTGTGACTCTCTAATGCTCTGAAAAAGACAGAAAGGCACACCAGGCTTCTGCCAGTTTGGTCCAACGGAGGAAAGTTCCTTCTAATCACAGAACAGGCAGTCAATGAGACGCGCAGCATCTTGAAAATGTGACTTACATATTATGACAATAGGGAAGAAAGACAGGGCAGCTGAAGTAAAGAAGTCTCAAAAGACCAGAAAAGGGTCTAAATTTTTTGGGAGAAGAAGTGAGGGTCTATCAGCTCTTGGTTGAGCAATGAGTCCAGGACCATGGAGGGGGCCAGCCTTGCAGTTTCACAAGTGCATTGTGCTTCTTCCCTTTCTTTTCTGGTCCAGTCAGTATCCCCTCACAATCAAGTGCGGGCGGGGGAAGGGGGAGAATCCTTGGCTACATTCCAGTCACATTGTGATGTTCCATCTCAAATGGCTCAACTAGTAGGCAGGCTGGGAGACTCTCTCTTTAGAATACTGGACGTAGTATTACTGAATCCTTTGGAAGTAGAGCTCTCTGCAGGCAGTACCCAAAGAAAGGGGTGGCTTCTTTAGAGCCTTTGGTTGTAGATTTTGAATATGTAGAAGGAACTATGCATTTGACATGGTAGATTTCATAACCATGCCTCAAACATTCACTTCCATGGGGCGAGCATGTGTGTGGAAGCAATGTTTATTGCTTTTAGAGGGGCTGATGTTGGCACTAAGACTAGTCCCCTCCCAGAAGTGTGGAATTATACAGGTGGTTTACTGGAAGACCAGCAGTTACCTTTCTTTACTCAGTCTAGCAGTGGTAGTCAGTCCTCTAAGGAAAAAAGCAGTAAACCACTAACCTTCATTATATGTTGTCAGGGTTGTTCGCCAATCTGGCAATCCAAGTGCAGAAGGTGGGGGCCTTAAATACCTTGTCTCTACAGGGTCTGGTTACAAAAAAATTCCCCATAGTCACAGATGCACTGTCTCTGAGATTTGTCCCTCCCTTCCCCCTCCCTCCCCCACCCCGCTTCCCGCCAAAAAGCTGCCAGCATCAAGTGATTTCACCCTAAAAAATAGGAGGGAACACCTGAATTCCTTCCCCAGGTTTACCCCAGCTCTTTTGCCCAAAAGAGCTTGAAAAAAGGAGAGAGAAACAAGCTGCAGTCTCTAGTAGCTGACCGCCCAGTCACAAGAATCAAATCATCACCTTAATTAAAAGTGGTTTTTATTAACAATCCATAGATATACTTGATAAAGCATACTTGGTTGCCAGGTGTACAGAGCAAGTAAGTAAAACCAATTAAAACACAGAGAAAATCTCTGGCAACAACTCTGATAGTGAATGGGGGAAGGAAGGCATGGAGTCACTCAGAGAAGTTAAAACCAAACAACCAAAATAAAGAAAAATACCCTGATTGCGACTAGCTAAATTTTTCCCTCTACTTATAATGCATGTTGATCTGTACTTCAAGGTCCAGTTCATTCCCATGTCCAATATTTCTTATAGGCACAGTAATTCTGATCCCCACATCTGCTCTCTCCAGTCCTTTTCTTAGAAATCCACACAAAGAATGAAACAGATCAGGCATCTATATCCAGTTCAGATTTCAGCACTGTATCTTCATTGGTTCTTCTGGCCCCTTCTCAACACTCATGCTAGTTACCTGAGTTTAACCCCTTAGTCACCAGGTGCTGGTCAGTGCTCCTGCTAT